AAAGCTCGCTCCGGGACTGCGCCGCCGTGGCCGCCAATAAAACCACCTGCCACTGGCCGCGTCGCCGGGCTCCGCCCTCTGCGAACAAAACGGTCTGTGAATTGGCAGTAGAGCTGTCTGTCAACTGCGCCTCGGTGATGATAGAGGCGACATCCAATCAAAAGCCGTTAAGCGTGCACGGGCCCCGCTCTCAAGCCCGCGAGCTATATGTAAATAGAGTCGTGACGTGTATTCCGGCGCACGCGCGGTGCCGCGCCTTTTTAAAGGGGCTGCTGGGGCGCGTGGAGGACAGAGGGTTATTTTTTTTTGTCTGTTGAGTCTTTTGCAACTCTTAATTTTTGCGTCCTGACCCTGTCCGCAGTTCTCTCTCCAGGTTACCTGCCGTCCCTGGCTTGGGGAAAGCACCGCCTACTTCCCAAGGCCTTGTGGCCCTCGGTCTACGGTGTCTGCCTGGCTTGGGGCTACCCTGCTCATAGGAAGAAACTTAAACATACCTGATTAAAAAAAAAAAAAAAAAAAAAAACTGCCTTCGGGGGCTGGGGAGAGGGCCCAGAGGTTAAGAGCACTGACTGCTCTTCCAAAGGTCCTGAATTCAATTTCCAGCAACCACATGGTGGCTCACAACCATTCGTTATGAGATCTGGTACCCTCTTCTGGTGTGCAGATATACATGGAAGCAGAATGTTGTATACATAATAAATAAATAAAATCTTAAAAAAAAAACTGCCTGCAGATATGTGTTTTCCTAAAGTCTACAGACAGGGTCGTTAAAAACAAAGCTGTGTAGTGGGGTGTGCTAGATGAGAGGTGGTGGTGAGAGGATGAGCCTTTTGTCACTATCAACTAAGCAAGTTTGGGGCCAGCTACGTGAGACCTTGTCTCTAAAATAAAACTCAAAATGAAGTATGTTTGCTAAAGTCCAGAAGATTTACAGCGCTGAGTTTTACTATATTACTTCTCTCCCATCCTTAAATTGGGACTAGGTAATATATAAAGTTTCATTTACAGAATTAAGAAAAGCAAATAAGCTCATATATTTTTTACTTAATTTCTATTTGAGGATGGGTAGGAAGTGGCTAAAGCAGACAAGCAAAGAAAATAGTTTGGCAGTCAGGGACTCGATTTGGTTTGGGCTGTGCATACACCCATCTTCTAATACTTCACTTGGCAGTCTGAAAGCCCCTCACATATAAAATAATTTAAACCTTGTTTTTTGGGTTTTTTGTTTTTGTTTTTGTTTTTTTAAGGGGGGGTTCGAGACAGGCTTTGGAGGATGTCCTGGAACTAGCTCTTGTAGACCAGGCTGGCCTCAAACTCACAGAGATCCGCCTGCCTCTGCCTCCTGAGTGCTGTGATTAAAGGTATGTGCCACCACCTCCCAGTTTATACTTAGTCTTTAACTGTTGCTGTCAATTACGTCCTTTGAGCAACTGGATTTAGAGAGCCACAGGGTTACGACGACAACTCCTCTTACAGTAAGTAAGCCTAGCTTTCAGCAGCTTGCACTCATGTCTTACAGATGAACTGTCTTTCATCCAAGACTGTCTCTCTTGCTCAGTGCCTGCACTTAAATCCAAAGCCTGAGCTATTTATCTCTGTTTAATATTCTTGCTAACTTTGCTTTGCTCTGACTTGTCTTGAAATTATTTTCTGCAGCATAGTCAAGGATCCAGTTTTATCTGAGTAGAGGTTCCTAAGAAGGAAGGAAATGCATCAGGCTACTTGACTGTCTCCACTGCTGCTGACGAGGGTACCAGGGAGGTATTTCCTCTATATAATCTGGAGTTGGGTACAAGCCTCAGTCTCCCCATGTCAGTTTATAGAAAAACATCCAATTTGGCTAGCAAAAAAAGGTAGGGATGGACAAATGGTCTTCATTTCTTAGAATTTTACCCTTTCATCAGGTGAGGGTTGCTTTGGAAACAATTTCAGTCTGGTATTTTTAGCAAATGATTCCTGCTCCGTAGTGTTTATAACAGGAAAAAGTTTAAAACCACTCAAGGGCTCCTGATGGAGGAATTAACAACAGGGGTTGCTGTCATAATTGGTTTTTCACCTATCAAACACAACCTAAAGGAGAAAGGGTTTATTTTAACTCATAGTACAAGGTACACTCTATCCATCATGATGGGGATGTCAACTGGTCACATTAAGTCTGTAAACCCAAGCAGCAGTGCTGGTGCTCAGCCACTGTCTCCTTTTCATGC